TGTACAGAGCAGTTGATTTTGTATGAAGATGGTGATAGGTAAAAGATCTAAGTGACTTTAAAAGTGGATTTATAGTTAAGGCACAGATGGCAGGAGCTTCAGTCTGCTCAGCTGGCTCGTGTTTCAATAGACAGACATCTACATTTAGATTTCGTTCGTAAATATGCTTGGAAACTGTAGCTGGTTGATGGTCGTGATGCTCATAAAGTATGCAAGAAAAAAATTAAACATTTCTATCCTGATGAAACTAGTGTCTATAACGATAACGAGGACCCACTGAACAGTTCGATGACAATGATATGAATCATATGCTACAGCTTTCTGCCTGCTTTTGCTGATTCTGCTTCTTTAAACATTTTGGATCAGCCGGCAAATAGTTGTATGTGTGTTTAAAGGTCGCTGTGGCTCAGCAGCTGGTGGAGCGTGGAGCCGACCCAGACCGAATGAACGTTCTGTCCAAAACGGCCTTTGAACTGGCCATGCAGCTGAAACAGAGAGACGTCAAGGCCTATCTGGACTCCATCACCACCGTCCGACCCCAGACAGGTAGAGCTGCCGTTTGATGAAAGTTCAGACTGGCTTTATTTTGCATGCTTGTTGCACAGAGCACACAATGTGGCTCGGAGAAATCTGATTGTAAAATAAAACAGAAAAACAATGTATGAAGAAAGAAAGAAAAAGAACATTCTTTTATTTTTTTCAAAAATCAAAGAATACCAGAAGAAGATGAGATTTTTATTAACAGTTGAATGTAGTGGTAAGAATGAGAAACACTGATGTAAACACCGGTGGACAGATTAAAAGTCAAAAAGCGAATTTTAAAAGCAGCTTCATGTGTTCTCCTGGTTTTCTGTCAGGCTCTGCTACGTTTTGCTGATTCTGTGGAAACGTCAGTTGTTGACCCCGAACTAAATATTTCATTTTGTTTTGGTTTCAGAGACTGTTTGGAATTTTTTCTATCATTTTTGATGAACAGTTTTGTTGTAGCAGCAGAACTGACCTCCCTTTCTGTGTCATTACAAGAATCTAGTTGTAATGTGCTGCAATTAACACTGCAGCGAGACAGTGGATGCCCTCCCAGTGTCTTTGAAGATTAACAGCTCTTCTCACAGGTCGTTCAGGTTTTAGCTCAGTTTACAGGCACATACATGGCGGCCCGTTAAAACCTGTGATTGCAACAATAAAATCAAGAAAATCTGTCACTAGAGCTCTTTTGTGGCTGTATTGTTTCACATTTATTTATATGTATGACGGTTAAATGTGAACGATTAATGGGCTGAAATGTAGTGAAAACAGAATTGACAGGAAGATGAACAAAAAGCTTTTATCCAGTTGTGTTAATCCGACTGTCTGAGTCTCTCAAAGCGTACGAGACGTTCCTCCTAAAGCGCAGAGTTTCTACTTTTCTCACTCTCTCGGTTCTCCTTCCTCTCCGTTCCAGGAATTTCTTTTAGATTTTTGCGAGTGGTGAACTCTGCAGCAGTTAGTATTTATGTACACAGCCCCCCCTCACTGCGACTAAGTGTGCTGAGCTATGTGGAGTCCGGCCAAGTAGGGCTGTTGTTTCAGAGCGTATCAGAACTATTTTCTGTTCTCAGTCGTCTCTCGATTTCTTCACAGACGATGAGAGAAGAAGACCAGATGTGTTCAGTGCTCTCAAACTGGGTGAGTTCATTTAAATAGATGAAGGGGAAAAAATTTATGGGAATTATGCTGTGGATGTAAGATGAACAGGTTGTGTGTTCATTTATGTGTTTTATGTTGATTCAGGAAACTCGCAGCTCGTCAAAGAGATCCTGGAGGAGGACCCAGCTCAGGTGAATTCATCCAATCAGGAAGGAGCGTCACCTCTCATGATGGCGGCGGTGAGCGGGCAGTTAGAGGTGGTGCAGCTGATGGTGGACAAGAATGCCGACATCGACAAGCAAGATGGAGTCCATGGGTGGACCGCTTTAATGCAGGCCACGTATCATGGGTAAGGTGCTGGAAGAGTCTTTGAGATTAAGTTAATTGAAACTAATGTGTTAAAAAAAATGAAAACATGATTGAAAATGGAGACGTTTGACTCTGTAATGGACATGGAGTGTGTTTAGAGACACTTTCATCAATCTTTTCTTTTGTTTTCTCCCTCCCACCGTCTTCCAGCAACAAAGACATTGTTAAGTACCTGCTGAGTCAAGGGGCTGATGTGAACCTCCGGGCTAAGAATGGGTACACAGCCTTTGATCTGGTGATGCTGCTCAACGACCCAGGTAGCCCTCACTGTTACTGCTCTATTGCACAGCACTTTGGGA